GTGTGTGTGTGTGTGTGTGTCAGACAAAGATCTCTCTGTTTTCATCAGCTGACAAATGTCACGAATGATGTCACTACTACCTCAGAGGAATATTTAAAACAGATCGTCTCAAATATGAGAGCATAAAGGGCACATTCTGTTTGCCGTGGCGCGCTCACACATGCATACATGCACACACACATGTTCTAAGAGGACCATGTCAAATCAGTGACACTAATGACAGACCAACTCACACAAAAGCACACTGTAAGCCTGGATTTTCAGCGACACAAGTGTTATTTTGGAGAGATTTGTCAACAGCCGATTCACCCCATCAACATGGTGTATCGGTGTAATCCCGTCGGCCTTTCTAAAAGAGTTTCATTTAAAAGAGTGAAGGCGGATTTATTTGTAGCCAGACTGACCCTATTGAAAAACAACATCAAATTCATCTGGATCAGATACAGACCCCCTGCTGGAGGAGGGACTGACATCTGCACATGCATACCACAACAGAAAAAGACACAAAAAAATTGGGCTTAACAAAGGCAAAGAGAAATAAAAGGGTCAGTGAGTCAGGCAGGTCCACAATCACAAAAAAGCAAGACATATTCACATCACCCTTGTGATTTGATAGTGACCAAGTCAGAGTCAAAGAAGCACTGAAAGAGACCGAGATCCATTTATCAAAAAATTATATCAAAGACACACAGAGGCTGTGAAAGGAACAGAGTGTGTGTGCCTCCATTGTAGCTATTCCTAACAACAAAAAAGCAGGACTAAACCAATCACATGACACTGGTGGCCAATTTTCCGAAATGGTTCATAAGGAAGTGGTGAATCAGGCTTTCAAAATAAGTGTTGAAACAGTAAACTGTGGCAGTTTTACTAAAATGTCTTTTTCTATTTTAGATAAAAACCTCTACTTTTGCCTTTTTAAACAAGTTAAATTTGGTTTTCACCAGAAGCAGTTGGATTAACAGGTTTTCTAGTATTAAATGAAAGTCTAACCTAAGACGCCTTAGCCACAAATAAAGACCAATGAGCTCTACAGATTTAAGAAGTTGACTCTTTGGGATGTGTGAGATTGGAGTAATAACTTGTTAAACATGGAAGAACAAAAAAATCAAAGGTAAGAGCTAGATTTATGAGATAAGACCGAGCATAATGGCTGTATTTGAAATGTAATGTGTTTCAAGGCAAAGGTAAATGGATGATATTTATTGAAACAATATGAAATGTGGCAATGTCATCAACACAGAAACGCAATGCATCCTACCACACCCGACATAATCATAAAAGCACCTATGGTAGTAGTGCTGTAATAAATAACAGGTCAGGACCTGAAAACAGGTCACAACCTAGTTGTCAGTGGGTCACTTTGTTACAGGGACCAGAATGTTGCTGCAATTAGCCCAAGAGGTTCAAGGACACTAATGGAAATTCCAAATGTACACGAAACAGGCTTGAACAAAGAGATGTATTGTTTATCATGTAATGTATGCAACTTCTCAAAGATGATTAGAAAAAGCTTAAGCTTGTTTTCTTGAAGAGGAAATGACGACAAAAGTGAATGGTTATTTATATAATGAAAGCTCTGGTCTTACAGGACATTAGTGCTGTGTCCACAAGTTGTTTACTTCCTTGCTTTGTGTGTCGAGCCATTAGTGTATAAACCTTGAAGACATGCAGGGGGATGATTGATGGATTATCATCAGTCGAGGCCCAGCACAGTGGAATTAGTCTGTCGTAACCCTTTTTAACTAGCCCGCTGAGAAAACAGCACATGGGTTAGTATAGACGCGCAGATCTGTAAACAACACGAAAATAGCCCATAAAAGTGTGTGTGCTTGTGTGCTTGTGTGTGTGTGTCTGTGTTTTTCTATCCACAGCTATCTATCTACACTATAAATCTGGGTTATTGCTGTTTATGGTAAAATAAAACTAAACCATATACAACACTAATCTTAGTGAGTATTCTTGTACAAACTCACTAACAGCAACATAATGGAAGATTACAGCTAAGATGGGAAAAAGAACTATCTCAATCTGTAACTGTAGCCAGGTTTTACACAAACACAATGTTGTACCTTTATTCCGCCTTGCAGTTCTAAATAGAGTAAGAATTGAAGAGTGGATTATTGTTACACCTTTATGCTAGCAGCACAGGTAGTCACAGAGCCAAATTGATGTCTGAGTAAAATGGATATCCACTGAGATAGACACATAGAAAAAAGAATAAAGATAAAGGTTCAGTGTGTAGAATTTAGTGATATCTAGTGTTGAAGTTGCATGTTGCAGCTGAACACCCCTCACCTCACCCTCTCCTTTCAAACATGAAAAAGAAACTGTGGTAGCTTCAGTTGTCATCAAAACTCAAAAGGTGTTTAGTTTGTCCAGTCTGGACTAATGTAAAAAACATGGTGGCCTCAGTAGAGAGGACCCCCTCGATGTAAATATAAAGTATTTAAATATAAAGGGTCTTTTCTGGGGTAAAGAAAACTACAATTCATACAATTTAGATGAAACGAACTAGTGAAAACATCACGAGGATTATTCAACATTAAATTTCTGTTTCACCTGAATCTTACACACTGGACCTTTATGATGTGAATGGTCTATATTTCACATTCAGAAATATGTGTATTTTCTTAATTCAAGTTCCGTATTTTCTTTGCATATTTGTTTTCTTTTATTTATAATACATTTTATGGTCAAGCCTGAGGTACATTTCTTAAGGGCTTGATAATGACATCTTAGGAATCATTGCTGCATTTTTCCCTCTTAGATATATGCATTGGCAGATATTTGTGACGCTAATATCATCATCAGACCAAATCAATCCATATCGGTTGGACTCTAAATATTTAATTAATCTGGAATAAAGCAGAATCTCTGTGTAAAAGAAGCTTAGGTCTGTTTTTCTCTGTAAATGCTTTGTGGTGATAATAATATGGAACCAGAAACAAAAAGCTAAGACACCTGTTGAGTTTCGATTACATTTGAAGAATATGTGGCTTTATATGCACACACACATACACACCCTACGACACGCACATCTCAAGCATACCATGTGAAATTTATCAAATTTGAATCACAGAGGGGCTCTGTTTAAGTGGTTGTGCAAAAGGAAGACGGCGTACACACACACATACACGAAAGCAATGAAATTGAATTCACAGATTGAATTCCCAGTTACAGCTGAATAACACGCAGTATATTTTCTGTTTGTGTGTCTGTGTCCTACCCAGTGTTAATGGAGATGATTTCAATGAGTGGGTTCCTCCTGATCTTGGGCAGGTCCAGTCTCGCTCCTCCGAGCCTCCGGCCTCCATCTTTCTTCTGACCTAACAGCCGAACCGAGTGGCCTGAAGATGACAAACATGACTTCATTACATACTTATTTTCTAATTGAAACTGTGGCTGCCAGTGTGTGTTTTTCAGTTGTTAATTTGAAAAGGTGACACACTATCATGCAGAGCTATGTGTGGAAAGGTTGGTGTATAGATACAGTTAAAGCATGTCCGTGTTGAAAATGAATATATTACTGTGTTATAAGTGCAAAAATCTGCTGGATGACATTATTCAGTGTTTGTGTGCACAAAACAAACAAACATGACATAATAAGAGGAGAAGTTCAGTTTTGTCTATATCTGCAACACACTCAAATGCACACATACATTTACATAAAGGTTGTCACCCACAAACAACAAGAGACTTGGCTTTCTATTGTGCGATAATAAGCTTTAGATATTGAAATAAAAGCCTTGATTTGACTTCTCACAATGAATAAATATGATGGTGAAGTGAACAGGATAGAGGTAGAGGTATTGCGCAAATAACAGAGCAGATGTGGTAATGGTTTGGTCAAAAGAGGGAGAAATTAACTGATCTAACTGTGCAGGAAATGGAATAATAGGCAACTCCAGCCACCAGATGCACCAAAAATCCATTAAAGGCAAACATGAATATAAAAAGTGTGAAGAGGAGAGTACTTGTGCTAAAACTCCACTGATTTTACCAGAGTAGTTAACAGAGGTGAAAACAATGATGGATGGTTGAAGAAAAGGGGATCTTCAAAGAAAAAAGAAGGATATTTCATCTTTTACCAACTGCACACAAACAATTCCAAAAGTATCACTCATTGGATATAACATTGTTACAGAACTAAATGAGAATCGATAACGGAGTCTAATAGCTAATAGCTCAAGATGTCCAGCCTTTGGTGTGTGGAAATGGGATACCGGAGTCTCTCCTTCCCGACCGACTAATAGGCTACCAGCTAGAAATGTGCGAGATGGAGCCGCTGAGGGATGGAATTGTCTTCCTGTTTTCATCCACTTTACATGGGTCTCCTGGGAGGGTGGGCTCAGGGCAGGAAGCATGGCTATCAATTGGTAGATAAAAATGACAATCTGGCCCAGAGGAGGACAAAGAGCCAATCGGTGAGGCGTGACTGGTCGTAATATCCCAGTACAAGCAAGAAAATGAGAAAACTTCCCTGGTGGAAAACAGCTTGGGACTTGGAGTGCGTTCGGCCATCTTTTCCTCCGGGCCAGCTGTCTGTGCAAACGCCATCGGTGGCAAAAGAAGGACTTCAAATGAATGTGTTCTCTATTATCTCTGTAACCATCTCTCCCTCTGTTTGATGATCGATGAATCTATCCATACATTAATACATTATTTAACACAGATTAAAAGTTCCACCTGCTCCCCAACTGTTACTTTAAACATTGAACCTGAAGTTCATACAACAAATGTATGAGAGAGAAGAAAGTCATCAATAATGACTAAAATATGTTGACTAGATCACAGCCTACAAGAGCTTTTTCTTCCAGGTTTATGACATACATCTGATAGACATCAACTTATAAATATCTTTTTAACCTTGGTTATACTTTTCACAAGATCCAAACAAAAGTAAATAACATAATAATAATAATAATAATAAGACATGTGAACTAACTTGTCTGCTATGAAAAATGAAAAAGTGACAAAATCCCGCAATTACAGACTGCAATACAGTGGTCTTAATAAATTAAGATGGAGCAGAACAAGTCTAACCACTAAAAACAATGCGGTAAAACAATCAACTCCTATTTCCTGTTTGAAAATAGTCAAACGAGTAATTTCGCTTCAGCTAAGGTCTATTGGGTTGTGGTAAATCCTGCTTTAAAAATTAAATGTTTTTTCCAGATTGTTGATATTGTACATTTGTTTCAGATCATTTTAGCTGTGGGAAAATAAAGTTACTCATATCTAATTGCTTACACAGACTTGTCTGAAGAAAGCAATTTCCAGTGTGGTTCTGGATTTCCAGATGGTTTTCCCAAATTGACATTGACCATTCTCATAAAACTTGGTAATATTGTCATTCCCCACATATTCCTGTTATTTTTTTTTTTCCCTCTAAAACTTAACAGGACCCCTGAGAGTGTGCCTGCCACCCAAGACTCAAAGTATAATCTCATGACCAGCATGAAATCACACCAGGAGTGTATTGAAAGCCAAATTCAATTTCAGGCCCTAGGGGGACCAGGAATGAGAAGAGATAAAGTAAGTGACTTGAGTTCTTGAAGAAGACCGAAGAAAGCTGGCATAATTGTCATCTCAATTACAGAGTTTAGAGAGGCCAACTGCTGAGATGGGCAACCCCACGTAGACAGAGAGAGACACACACATCGCCTCATGCCACATTTTCCTGTAACTGACTGGCCTTCTCTTTTCCCCCTGCGATTTCCCCCCCGATCTCTCTCTCCGTTGTTCCTTTCTCTCCTTCATAAATACAAACCAACATAAATCCTTCTATCCACTCATAACGGCCCATCATATCATGCTAGGGAGAGGGAGGGAGGGGAGGCAAGGATAGATGGATGGATGGTTGGATGATGACAGAAAAAAATGCATCACAGATGAAAGATGTAGTGGCGAGCCAGATGGATGGTTGGATCATGGAGGTGGGGAGCTAAAAGGATGACCTCTTGACCTGGGTCTGATGTCTCATAAGTGGTGGGTCTTGTTGTGCTCCCTGGTTTGATTGTAAAGCAGCAGGCAGGATCGAGGGGGAAAGAGGTAAATTGGAGAGAAGGGACAGTAGTGTAATGCTTGTCATTTATCCTCCTAATATAACAGGTAATAGGATATGTACCAATATCTTTTTTTTAAAATCTGCTTATTATCTGGCCAAATCTCAGGGAAATGAATTTTGATGGTTAATACCTGAGATGCACATCAAACGCATTGCTTAGAAATTCTAAACTGTGCCTCAATGCAAATATTTCAAAAGAGTGCTTCCTTTAAAAAGCCATACAAGAGCTTTGATCCTTGACAATGACTAGCGAGCTTGTATTTGTACCTCCAGATGGGAGGTCACTGAGCATTAAAAGATGTTCACAGCGCCTTTGGTTGACTTCAAGTATATATGAATGATTCAACTTGCCTCTTGGAACCTGCTCTTTAATTCCTCTCCCACCTGTCTTATTTAATCTTTCCGTTCAATAACGTCTTCACGCTCCTGATTTATTTTTCAGCATTAACACACAAACAGTTTGTTTATATTGGTGAAATAAGGATCACGAGGTTATATGGATCCAATATAGCCTCTGATCTGAAGCTAAGTAGATACATTAGCCTGTCTAACCTTTGCAGCCCCCTGCTTCTATGTCACACACATACACTAAATCTAAACTGTTATGATGATAAAAAAAAATATCAGGTGAAATAGCATCATCTGAGGCTATCAGCTCAGTGATGGAAGATCAATATTGGGAGAGCAAATAAAGAAATTGAGAAATAAAAACAGCACTATAAAGAAAAAGGTACGTCAAATATTTATTAAAGGTGCAAAGGTTAGACTTTCGGGGAAGTGTGTAATCCTTAAAGATTGGAAACAAGAATAACATATTTTCTAGCCTTTGTGTTGCATTCTATCTAGGGCTGGACGATATGGGTAAAATTACATAACTGTTATTGCGAAAAATGTCCCTCTACTTGAGTAGAGAATGACAAACACTTCCTCACTGTGTTTACACAATGCATAAGCATCTATCCATATATTGAACCATTTAAATATTGCTATTGATGTAAATGTGTATCCATTAGTGTTATTACCAATTTTTTTTAAAGATCTGCCAGTTGGTTTGGAAGCCAACGGTGTGTTTGCGGTTTCCAAGAAAATTAACATCTGGCACAGTTAAAAAACATTCTACACTGTAAGCAAGCAACACAAGAGCGGGCAGCACTTGTAATGTGAGTAGCTGAATAAATCTTAATTACGGTGTGCATGCTCAGCAACCTGAGATAACTTCAGGATAAAGACATGCTTTTGTATTTACTATACAGGCAGTAACTTGAGCTTTATGTTAGATGGATGCCGTATTTACAGTAGTGAGGGGTCCTGCATTGACATTAGATCTGCTCTTCTTGAGCCAGAATAGATAGCCTCATGCCTCAAGAACCAAGGTCATAAAAGCATACTAGTACTCATGTGGAAAAGAGACCTGCAAGCGTTTTTTGGTGCAGCGAAGAACTGTGTCTATTAGCAGTTCACTGAAGTAAGTATTTTAGTAGCCATTACAACAGGCAAATCCCAGAGCTTAAAGGTTTATGCGCAGGCCTCCGAGCTGAAATAACAGTTCTCAGTTTATACGAGGTCATAAAGAACTGTAATGATACTGGGGAAATTAGTTTCTATGGAAGGGGCACAGATGAAGGAAAAGGGGAGGGAAGGAGGGTAGAGTGTAAGACATTGATAGATTATGAGAAATAGGTGGAGGGAAGAACAGGGAAAGAAAGAGAAAGGAATGAATGGGAAAATCATAGAAAAGAAAGAAGGAATAAAGTCACAGTGTACAAGTGTGTGTGTGTGTGTGTG